AACAACAACAACAACAATATGGCACGAGGGCCAGATGTTCCCCACCTGTGCTGTGTAAAGTTTCTGAGGAGCAGCTGGGGGTTTGAACCGCTGACCTTACGGTTATCAGCTCAGGGTTTATTCTACTGCACCACACTAGGACTCCTCATTGCTATGCTGTTGTTAAGTGTTGCTGAACTGGTTCCAACCCATAGCAACCCTGTATAGGGTTTGTGAGGAGCGGATGCTGAGCTTGAACCTCCAACCTTGCAGATCAAACTAAGTTTGCAGTCCAGTGCATTAACCCACAGTGCCACACTAGGACTTCTGCTACATTGCTGTATAATAGGATGAGATTTGAAAATGAGAAATCTACATAAAATCCAATCACCTACTCAAAGAACAGGTTACCAATTGTTTGTTTAATTAGAAATGTTTCATTAAACTTCTACTCCAAGCTCCTGTCACCTATGCAAAAGAACAGATGTTCAACACTTTTCCCATTTGTTTAATTAGAAATGTTTCCTTTGGAGGAATTAAGATGCACTCCAGGGGTCAAAAGGATGGGGGGAAGAGTAGCATGCTATAAGAGCATGAACAGACACCCGCTGAACAAGACGGGTGTGAGCTACACAGATCCACTTACACCACGTGTCATTTTGCCTAAAATACCATGTGAGTAATCACCTCCCTGTGAGCACTGTGTGTCACAGTGAAAAGTGGTTATCACGTGTTCTCATCACTTAGTCTAATACCACAAACCTCAGGGAACACCAGGGACACAGATGAAATGCCATCAGTGGTGCTGCAAGTACTCCCCAGAAGCAGAAAAAAGTCAAGGGAATCACTTGACCTGCACCACAGATGTAAGGAAGTCTGTCTCTGTAGCTGCCTGTCATTTCAAGGTAAATGAGTCTAAGTAAGAACTGTCCCCCACACACAAATAACAAAACATGTAAAGCTGTCTGCAGTTAATCAAGCAGGTGCAAAAAGTTGCACTTTTTGTGAAACACCTTTTGTTTGCAATGAAAATGCAGATTTGATGTGGGTGCAGTGTAGAACACATACAACACACACAATGTGTGTTAATCAGCTGTGTGTATCAATAAAGCTCTAAAGCTCTACTGTTGCAGGCACCTTGTAGTTAAGTTGCCGGCAAGTCACAAGTTACATGTGGATTTTCAACTGTGTGTGTGTGTGGGGGAGGGGTTTAGGTGCCCCAACTCCCTGCACTGCTCAAGGGTCAAGTGTAACTCAAATTCTCAATCCAGGAACTCCCTGGGGACTGTCAAAGTGGTAAATGACAGCGAGGGGCTTGAGAAGATTAGAACTAAGAACAAGTCCCGTGATGCGTTGACATGGAAACCTTTCATGCCCTTGAAGACAGGCGTTTCACGGGAGGAGCAGCCGTGGCAATGAAGAAGACATCATCACTGTGCGCCTGCCTTCAGGTCAGTTCCAACCCATGGTGAGCCTGCATACGGTTTCCGAGAGCAGCTGGTGGCTTTGAACTGCTGACTTGTGGTTGATGTGGTTAGTACTCCAGTGCTGATCCTACAGTGACACACACTGTTAGGTGGTGAGAAAAGCAGGACTAATAGCAGTTTTCTGGACAGCATAATAAACATTTGTGTGTTTTTTTCTGGAAGGAGAAACTTAGGATATACTTCAGAGAATTGGGAAATGTAATAAGTTACATGCTTCATGACTCATTTTCCCGTTGAGGTATAAAAGAATGAGAAATTTGATCTAATATTGTGAATACATTTCTAATTTTAAAAGTTTGCTTTGGTAAAATATTGAAATCTGTACAGATTAAAGGTGTCTTTTATAGTTAGTCTCAAGGTGCTAAAACCATACTTTTTTACTCGATTGGGTTTATTATACAAGGAGTAAATACCCATAGCAATTTGGTGTTGTAAGATAAGCATTAGACTGCTAAACAAAACGAAGAGGTTCAACAACGTCAGATGCCCCTTGCAAACTCTTTGCAGGGTCACTACGAGCTGGAACCGACTCGATGGCACTAACAACTAACAGAATGTTTACATTTAGAATGAGGTCCTATTTCTGTTGTTGTTGTTGTTAGGTCCTGTCTAGTACATATACCTGGTTTCAGTCTTACCTGCTGGTCAAACATCCTATGTTCTCTCTGGCCTGACTCCAGGTCCTCTTCTGAAAGAGACACCAAAGAATCACCCCGCTCCTGACCACCAAAGGCTTTGGTGTTTGTAGAGTTTCCTTCTAGCGATGAGGACACCTTGTTTCTGCCAACAGTTCCTCCAGTCAGGCCTTCTAGACTGAAACTGAACACAGGGCACAGGTGTTAATCCAGGCTACGTCTGTGCCTCGGAAATGAAGGACGACACAATCCTCTCCAGCTGGGTCTCCCTTCTTGTGCATTATTTCTAGGTCCCTGGGCAGAATTCATCTACACGGCACTGCGCACATAAGTACAGCCTGCCTTTGTCCCCTCCCTCCCCCCGGTCGTCTCTTACCTCCTACTGATCCGAATGGTCAACCACCTACCAGTTTTCTTCTCTCACGGTTTTTTCAAGCTACTATGTGGACAGACCATAATTGTACTATCAAGCTATATATATATATATGTATCTATACACACACACATATATAGTTGTTAAGTGCCATCACTGGGTTCCTACTTATAGCCACCCTGTATAGGGTTTCCAAGGAGTGCTGGACTCCATATGGAGTGTGTGTGTGTGTGTGAGAACACACATGAAAGAATTCTGGTAGTGTGTGCTTACAATGTGGGCTGTTAACCTCAAGGTCATCAGTTCAAAACTACCAGAGGTTCTGCAGGAGAAAGAGGGGGCTTTCTGCTCCTGTAAAGATTTACATACAGCCTTGGAAACCTTGTACAGGGT